TATTGTGGTGCGACGAAACAATCGACATTGGGACTACAACTCTTCTAGTAGCTCATTGTTTCCCCCTCCTCTCGTAGAAATTGTGAGCGATGTCAATCTGGGTCTACTTAGCACTTGGTGAGCTAACTTTGTTGTACATAGGAACAAGCCTATCCACTGGCTGTGAGGAGATCTCCAGCAAGCTTCCAGCATACCCAGAATGCTATACCCTCATCATCCACTTCCAACTCAGGGGATGAGATTAGCTAAGACTAGTCCGTAGGTAGAATTAATTGTCTCAAAAAGGGATCGCCGCGCTACGTATCAAGATCACGTGCTTGAGAGATTACTCATCAGCTGGCTGGGTTACCGGAATTTCTTTATTCCCCTAATTACATAAGCTGGATAAGAGCTTGCAACGATAGAGACGTTCACCTGCATTTTTCCAGCGCAACCCCCAAAGTGCAAATTTAGGTGCTAGATGATATTGTATGTAAATATAGCTCCCACAAAGATTAAAGCTATTCCATCCACCAGCTCGACAGACCAATCATGATAGGACTTTATCGGGGCACTATGGAGGCCACTGAGGCAGTAGCAGTGTCGGTGTGTCTGTAGCTACGGCACGACGGTTTTGCGGCCGTTCCGCGCGGCCCATGGAAGCGGCGTCCGTCTATCGCTACCTTTCGTCTCGACATCAGCGCCCTTCTCGAGCAAGAGCTGCAGGATGGCCTCGTGGCCGTTCTGCGCGGCCCACGACAGCGGCGTCTGGCCGTAGGCGCTATCTTACGTCTCGATGTCAGCGCCCTTCTCGAGTGAGAGCTGCACAGTAGGCTCGTAACCATTCTTCGCGGCCCACGACAGCGGCGTCCGGCCAGATGAGCTATCTTTCATCTCGATCTCAGCGCCCTTCTCGAGCAGCAGCTTGACGATGGCCTCATGCCCGCTTGCGGCGGCCCGCCATAACGGCCTCTGGCCATCCTCATCCTTAGCCTCGACGTCGGCGCCCTTGGCTAGCAGCAACCGCACGATGGTCTCATGCCCGCTTGCGGCGGCCCACGACAGCGGCGTCCGCCCTGAATCGTCATCCTTAGCCTCGACGTCGGCGCCTTTGGCGAGCAGCCGCTGCACGACAACCTCGTGCCCGTTTTTGGCAGCCAGTGACAGAGGCGTCAGCTCAAGCAACTGCACGACGGCTTTGTGCCCGCTCGTGGCGGCCCGTGACAGCGGCGTCTGGCCCGAGTTATCCTTAGCCTTGATGTTGGCGTGCTCGTCCGCAGTGGCCCACCACAGCGGCGTTTGGCCAGAGTTATCCGTTTCCTCTTTACAGGCATGTTTTGAGAGCAGCTGCTGCACGACAGCCTCGTGCCCTCTCCCGGCAGCCCACGACAGCGGTGTCCGCCCCTACTTATCCTTCACGTCAACATCGGCCCTACCTGTCGCAAGCAGCAGCCGCACGATGGCCTCGTGCCCTCTCACGACGGCCCACCATAGTGGCGTCCGGCCAGACTCATCCTTTGCCTTGACATCGGTAGCCATTTCGAGCAGCTGCTGCACAACCTTCTCGTGCCTTCTCTCAACGGCCCACCATAGCGGGGTCCAGCCCAAGTTATCTTTCGCCTCAACGTCGGCGCCCTTTTTGAGCAGCTGCTGCACAACCTTCTCGTGCCCGCTCGTGGCGGCATACGGCAGCGGCGTCCAGCCAGATTTGTCCGTCGCCTCGACGTTAGCGCCTTTTTCGAGTAGCTGCCGCACAATGTCCACGCGACTTCTCGCCGCGGCATACGATAGAGGCGTCCGGCCAGATTTGTCCTTCGCCTCGACATCGGCGCCCTTCTCGAGCAAGTGCTGCACGCCAGCCCATCCCCCGCTCCTAACGGCATTCGACAGCGGCGTCCGGCCAGAGTTATCAATCGCTTCGGCATCGATGCTCTTCTCGCGCAGACAATTCGTGCCCGCCCGTACAAGTTTCGCTGCTATAGCTTTTTTGCTGTCGCTTGCTATGGTGTTCATATATTGAGCGGCTAAGGTGGCCAAAGTTTCCATCTTATCCACCTCGTCTAACTCAGCTTTGGCTTCGTCATCAGCTACATTCAGACGAAAGTAGATTTCGCTTGATGCCGACATGTCAGGCCCCGCGGCCTCAAGGTGCTTCCTGCGAAAGATGTCAACCATCTCTTTTGTTTTATAGTGTAGTGTGTATGTTCTGTGCCAGTCATAGCATGCACACTGTAGAGGGCCAGTTGCAGTCGCAAGTACCAGAGCCGAAGGAGAATCCTCTGCAATGCCCACCCTCCCAATCGACCCATTATTTTTTTAGTAGCATTTTCCAAGGTATGGTCGCCTTCCGGTCCAGTGCCAAGGCTTGTGATACAGTCGATATCCGTTAGTTCCCAGATCTTGCCGGCTTCCATGATGGCATGGTGGCTTGGATTATTGGCAACAGTCCCGCCATCACTGTATTTATGGTTGCCGATCAGGATGGGTTTGAAAAACGTAGGAGCAGCGGAAGTCGCCCGTCCCGCTTGCAATATCGTGACTGTAGATGCAGGCTCCCGACTCCCGATATCATAGGATCTTAAGATAATTGGCCCGGGGCAGTGTCTGTCTAAATCGGTGGAGACGACAAAGGTCCTGCAACGACGCTCATCCTTCAATCGTGCATCTTTGCCCCCCAGAGGGGAAGTTTTGACGATATTCCTTAGACAATTCTCAAAGACTTTATCGTCATATGTAGCATCCCCACGGGCATACCAAGGCAGCTTCTTGTTAAAGATTTCCTTGCCAAGGCTAAAGTATTCGTCGATAGCTTCTTTCGCCGTCTATTTCAACACATGTCAGTACTAGGATTGTAATGTCAAAATATCGGAAAATGGTCTCACATATTCCAGTCTGTTGAGCAAGAGAGCAATCAACCCTCCAGTACTCGTTCCGCATATCAAGTCGAAGTAGTCGCATGGCTTCAAAGGCGATTGAGAATGGGGTTGGTCGCCATCGGGTCCCACCCGCGGTTCCAAAATACTAATCTCCGCCATGATTTCTTGCAACATGCTTAGCACCGTCATCCCTTTGATTCCACCACCATCGAGAGAAAGGATGCGGATTTTTCTATTCGTCATAGCGCCACGCCAGGTAGGGGTATCAGCTGCGAATAATTATCCGATCCAAAGGTTATTGCAAGCACAAGTTGAGAGCAATAGGGCTAGCGCGAAGAAGATATTTTATTGCAGGAGCAGCATCGTGAGGGGTCGTCGACGGGCTGAGCGGCTGCCGCGTAGTGGGAGCTGAAAGCGATGGCGCTCGCGTCGTACTGTACGAAGCCCCGCGAGGCTCTTTCTACGCAACTTTCAATATCAAAACGCAGGTTGGCTCACAGCATCAAAGACCTTCCTATTTCAGGAATGAGGCTTGCCTGTAAGCAGCCGACGTTGCCCTTTTTGTATGCGGTCCACATCGGCATTCACCCAATTCGTGGGGTTCTACAGGAATTAATTTGGCTGAAGTTGCAATGGGAGAGAATGGTGGCGTTTTGCTGACACCCTAGAATTATTGGCCAGCACACTACTGCAGAGCCGCATCCCCAGCAGATCGCTTGCGTAAAGTAATGCGCAAGCTCAATACACTCGACCAATACCCCTCAACCTAGGACTGGGCGTACAGAGGCGCGTAATCAATTTTGCGCGCCCGGACGCGCGAATTATGTCAGCAGTCAACTCCAGTCACAACACAACCGCAGAGATCAGCCCTATCATGGCTCAGGCAACATTTCCTGATGATGTACTCCCGCCCGAGGGCATATACGACTCTAGGGAGGCTCTCCTTTTATCCATTAACTCTTGGGCGAAGCTTAGAGGCTATGCTTTCACGACGGGGAAATCCTTAAAAACCCCAAACGGTCGAGTCAAGGTTGTATTTGCATATAATCGGAACAAGCCACCGCCAAGTATATCTGCCGAAAGGATACATCGTATATACAGCCGAGGGACTGGTTATAAGTTCTCAGTACTTGCCAAACAATCCCTTGGGGGGGATTCATAGGTCCTAAGCTACCGGCCGAGCCAGGAACACATAATCCATAATCACCCTCCGAGCGGAGACCTATCCGTACACCCTGCGTACCGCCAACTTAAGGAAAACGATATAAAAGCTATATCAAGTCTTATAGCTTCTGGAGCTGCCCCTTGGGAAATTAGAACCTATCTTCAGAAATACTCCGATACCCTCGCAACCCAGAAGGATATCTACAATCGAATTGCGGCTACGAGGCGAGATCTATGTGAGGGTCAAAGCAGCATCCAGGCACTAGTCGACCAATTGAGCAGGGAGGGTTTCTGGTGCAGAGTCCGATTGGATCCTGGTAATCGACTAACGGCTATCTTCTTTGCCCACCCAGACTCTATTGTATATCTGCAATGCAACCCCGACGTCTTGATATTGGATTGCACCTACAAAACAAATAAGCATGCTATGCCACTTCTTGATATGGTCGGCGTTGACTCCTGCCAAAGCTCTTTCTGTATCGCCTTCGCGTTTCTCTCCGGTGAGACAGAGGAGGACTACTCGTGGGCCTTGCAACATCTCAAATCCCTTTACCAGCATGATCTTCCTTCAGTCATTTTGACGGACCGGTGGCTGGCAGCGATGAATGCTTCAGCCACCTGGTTCCCCCTCTCTAAGTCACTGCTTTGCCTCTGGCACGTCAACAAGGCAGTCTTACAGCATTGCCGACCTGCCTTCATGCTGGGCGGTGGAGATCAGCCAGAAAAGGCACGGGATGAATTCTATGCATCCTGGCACTCGATTGTAGCCTCTCCAACTGAAGCAGTATTTCAGGAGCGCCTGACTAGCTTCGAGTGCAAATACGCCAAGAAGTACACAGAGGCCGTTGGGTATATCAAGACAGTCTGGCTTGATCCATATAAGGAGATGGTCGTCAAAGCATGGGTAGATAAATACTTGCATTTCGGCAACATTGCTACCTCAAGGCAGGTAGATTATAGGGCCATGGAGCCGTAGGGGATAGATACTGATAAACTTCCTAGGGCTGAAGGAATTCATTCCCTGATAAAATCATACATCAAGACTTCTGCTCTAGACCTCTTTGATACCTGGCAAGCAATGAAACCGGCCATTACTAACCAATTGAGAGAACTAAGCCATGTACGGGCCTCTCAGCAGTTACGGATACCTCTAGATATCTCCGGAGTGTTGTTTGAGGCTATACGGGGTTGGGTCTCGCATTAGGCTCTACGCAAGGTGCAGGAACAACAACGGTTGATTCCAGCGCTCAAAGCTCCCTGTAGCCAGAGATTCACATCATCGCATGGACTACCGTGTGCACATACCTTGAAAAAGCTGGAGGAAGAAAGGAAGACCCTCTTGCTAGAACAATTTCATCCTCATTGGTACTTGAAGCGGCATGTAGATCAACCACGGCCTATGTTGGAGCCTAGAGCAGCCTCGAGCCAGCATAACGAGAGACGCAACCAGCCGGCAAAAAGTACGAGGCGAGAGCCTAGTGCATTTGAGGCAGTTGAGGCCGCGGTACAGCCGAGGGCACAGCCTACGTGCAGCAGATGCCACTCGTTAGGACATAAGATGACCTGGAAAGCATGCCCTCAGCGGTACGAAGAGCTTTTGCAATCGTCAGTAGCATCATCATCATCGGCGGCAGCACCCGAGCAGGCACTGGAAGCACCTATAGTACCGCCATCGGGATCGCCAGAGCATGCAGGATCAGGTGGAGATGGTCCCGGTTGCATTGTCGTTAATGTCGGTGGCATGAGTAGCAGAGCGCCAGCAGTGTCGCTAGCAGCGCCATCAACACAGGCAGGGGCGGGGCCTTCATTAAGATATGATGACCCCCGAGCTATCTATCAGAGATATGTTGTCGCTCGAGACACATGGTACAAGGCCCAACTCAGTGAAAGTGTTAAAAGCAATCAAAAATATAGGAAGGCGATGGGTCTGCCTCTACGATACGATAAAGCGAGCTACCAGTGGTGCCTAGACTGGAAGCAGATGGGTGCACGCTGTATATTATCCCCAGGGTCTAGAGATTGGACTAAGGAAGAGATGATAGCCTACCTAGATTGGAGTAAGGCGGAAGATGATCGGGTTGAGGCTCAGGTAGCCGCAGAGATGGAAAGCAATCCTTTTTCTGTTGGTAGAAGAGGCATGCGAGAGATATGGGAGGCGGCTGCAAAGGATGACAGAGAGCAGCAGAGCTTATATTCAACTAAGTAGTCTTTCTGGATTTATGGCCGTTCTAGATCTTAGAATCTAAAGTTTTTGCGTGTTGATAACTAGCCGCGGCTCCCCCTGACTGATCTCTGCGGTTGTGTTGTGACTGGAGTTGACTGCTGACATAATTCGCGCGTCCGGGCGC